GAACAGCTCTTATCAGAGCTACGGCTTGCCCAAAGTCATCCAGCCAGGTGCAAGTGGAGGAGAGGGGAATCAAACCCGGTTCTCCCAGATTAGAGTCCACGCACTTAACCACTACACCAAACGGGCTCCAACCCGGCATTTTTCTACCATGCAGGTGGAAGGGGTGGGCAGTTGACGGAGCCTGTCGTCTCCACCAACACCTCCCCACTGCCTTATGCCACAAGTAAACTACTTTCCCCAGAACTCTGTTCCTACTTTTCCTTCCTTTTGAGGATTTGCAGCAGGGGTGTCGAACTCATTGGCTACAAGGGCCGGATCTGACATAAACGAGACCTGGTGGGGCCGGGCCACGTGTGTCATAAAATGTAATGCCAGGTCGCGGAGATATAAACTTGATAAAGGACACAGACACAAAGATTTTTTTTATTACTTAAAATAAAAACATACCTAAAACGTTAGCACTCTTGCAATATTTTGTTTATTTAACACTGTCTGATAACTGACACCTCTTGCTCTGAATTATTGCATCAAAATGTCTGTGCTGTTGCAATCTTGAGGATGCTCTTTAGGTGTGTATCTGTAAGCTGCAAACCTACTTTTGATTTATTGACATTCACCACAGAAATCTCATGCTCAGAGCTCTGAGTCTAGGACCCAGGGGAAAACATGAAATGGCCGAGTGGTTAAGAGAGTTCGACGAAGCAAGCTGTGTGGCAGCAGCAGCAGCAGCAGCCACAGAACTGGGAGCAGGAGATGGCCAGTTCCAGTGCGGGCCTGATGGAAGCCCTCCGGGGGCCTGATCTGGCCCCCGGGCCACATGTTTGACACCCCTGATTTACAGGATACTTCCGCCCATAACCTCCTTCGGACAAGTTGATGGAAGCTGTATAAGCTATTGGTCCGAGGTGATGAATTTGCGGTTCGTCAGCTGATGTCTCTTTCCCGGTTTTTGCCCAGACGAGACGGGGAGCAGTTGTGGCCCAGTGGCAGAGCATCTGCTTAGTGTGCAGGAGGTCCCAGCCTCGTGTCCATGTGACACTCAGCAGCCATGTCTGTCCCTTGCCCCGCATCGTAGAGTTCCCATAGAGTTTCCAGAGCATTGGCTGATGTTGTCTCTGAGTTTTCACCCAGACGTAATGTTGACACATACCTTGAGGCATGGAGTCACTATTTATTTACTTGTTTAATTATGTCTCCTGCCAACCTAGCAGTTCGAAAGCAAGGAATTGCAAGTAGATAAATAGGGACCACTTCGGTGGGAAGGTAACAGCGTTCCGTGCACCTCGGTGTTTAGTCATGCCGGCCACATGACCACGGAAACGTCTCCGGACAGCGCTGGCTCTTCGGCTTAGAAACGGAGATGAGCACCGCAGCCCTAGAGTCGGCTTCGACTGGCTTTCGAGCAAGGGAACCTTTACCTTTACTTTACTTAATTATGTACATTATCTCTCACTACAATTTAAGGCAGATCACACAGATTATAGGGGGCTGGAACACCTTCCCTGTATAGCAAAGCCAAAGAGTCTGGGACTTTTCAGTTTCGAAAAGAGATGACTCAGAGAGAACATGACAGAGGTTTATAAAACTATGCGTGAGGTGGAGAGAGTGGACAAAGAGAACATTTTTCTCCCAAAATACTAGAACTCGAAGGCCTCCAATGAAGCTGATGGGCAGTAGGATCAGGGCAGACAAAAGGAAATATTACTTTATACAGCGAGTGAGTAAAAGGTGGAATTTGCTGCCAGAGGGTGTAGTGATGGCCACAGGAATGCACAGCTTTAAAAGGGGATTAGATAGATTCCTGGAGGAGAAGTCTCTCGCTGACTACTAGCCACGGTGATTCCACATTCAGAGGCCTCGGAATCCCAGAGCCAGGAGGCAACATCAGGGGAAGGCCTCGGCCTCTCTGCCCTGTTGTCGGCCGTTCAGAGGAACTAGGTGTCCACCGTGTGAGACGTGATGCTGGACTAGATGGACCCTCACTGGTCTGGTCCAGCAGGGCTCTTCTGATGTTCTTAGCAGGGGAAGGCCTCGGCATCTCTGCCCTGTTGCTGGCCCTCCAGAGGAACTGGTTGGCCACTGTATGAGATGGGATGCTGGACTAGATGGACCTTCACTGATCTGATCCAGCAGGGCTCTTCTGATGTTCTTAGCATGGGAAGGCCTTGTCCTCTCTGCCCTGTTGTTGGCCTTCCAGAGGAACTGGGTGTGAGACGGGATGCTGGACTGGATAGACCCTCACTGGTCTGATCCAGCAGGGCTCTTGTTATGTTTTTTATCAGGGGAAGGCCTCGGCCTCTCTGCCCTGTTGTTGTCCCTCCAGAGTAATTCGTTTGCCACTGTGTGAGACCGGATACTGGACTAGATGGAACTATTGGTCTGATCCAGCAGGGCTCTTGTTATGTTTTTTATCAGGGGAAGGCCTCGGCCTCTCTGCCCTGTTGTTGTCCCTCCAGAGGAACTGGGTGTCCACTGTGTGAGACAGGACGCTGGACTCAGTGGTCTAATCCAACAAGGCTCTTCTGATGTTCTTACTGTGCAGTCTGGTTTCCAGTGCCCTCAGTTGATGACCATTTGCATGTAAAACAGGTTTAAGAAATTGCAGGGGACAATGTTCTGGACCAATGTCCCACTTATGCCAATGAAAAACTGAGCTTGCCTGGAGAAGGACGTTTTCCAGTATTAAACCTGCAATTGTGTAGCCTAGAGCTGGTGAAAAGTGGTTTGTGAGTTTTTTAAATCCCCCTTTTTTTGTGCCGCCCGTAATTTTCCTCTGACCCTCCCGCTTGGGTAGTGGAAATCTCCTCCTCCCCGGCGGAGGCCTAATCCAGCGCCAAGATGGGAAGCCACGCCTGGAAACAGAGAAAGGCTTTATCTGCCTCTGGGATCGTTCACACTGGCCAGAGCAGCGATCGGTGCAGAAGTCTTTAAACGGTGCAGAGAACAAATCACAGGTGAACTGTGCAGTTTCAGACTTTCTGAACGGGGGATTCTACCGGATGAGAGGCCTGCGGCTTGCCACTGCCGGAAGAAACTTTGGTTCCAACTTAGCGAGAAGCCGCTCGTTAGACAGCCGGCTGTTATTTCATAATTCCGTGGAAGATCTGGGGTAGCGACGATCCTCCGCTCTCGTCCCCAATGCCTCACGCAATGTAAGTCTAATCATGCCGAGATTATTTTACGCGGCTTTGTTCTTTCTCTAAGTGTCCTTGCAGAAAGGTCTAGGAAGGAAAGTAATTAAAGCAACAAGAACAGATAAGGCGTCTGCAAACGCTTTCCTCTAGGTTTGTTTGTGCTTCGGCAAGAAGGTTTGTCGCGAAGGTTTTGTTTGCGCTTCGGCAATACTGGACGTTCGTCTGGATTCCTCACCGAGACCTTTTTCTTCTTCCAAGTGGGAGAACAAAGCAGACCTCTTATTACATTTCTTCCTCCTCCGCTGTTGACAAAAGGAACAGTAGAAGCAGTAATAATGAGAAGGAAAATAACCTGTTTAATGCTTTAGATCATTCGAGCTATGGCCTCAGTAATCCTTATGACAACTCTGGGAGCTGTTGCTGTACCCTTGCGGCGGAAAGAAGGCGCTGTGGTTCGGGAGGTGCCGGGTTCAAACCTCGCCTCTGCTGCAAGCTCTTTAGGGGACCTTAGGCAAGGCAGCCTGTCTCAGCCTCAACGTGCCCACCTGCATAATAGGGGTAATATTGCTGGCCTACCTTACAGGGCCGTTGTAGGGCTTACAATAAGGGAAGGCGATTTGAACACCGATTAACTCGATAAGGTGAGTCAGTATTGTTATCCTGTTACTGCGGATCTTGGGGGGGGGGTCACGGTCCCTCATACCTCCAGTACCGCCTCCCCCCCGTGCACCGCCACGACAGCTTCGCTTCTCTGAGCAGGGTCTTCTACGAGTGCCAACCTGCAAATGGGCAAAACCTACAACCGCGTGTACATGTGCCTTCTCCGTTGTCGACCCCAATTGTATAATGGTCTGCCTGAGGCGGTCAGGAAGACACACAGACACACCCTTTTCTGGCTTTCCACAGCCGGCAAAGGAGTATTATTCAAAAGGGCTTTTTGCGCATGTAGATAGCACTGGAAGGGTTCGTAAAATTGCACTGGTCAAGGGATAGGAACTGTGGCTTGTACGAGTGTCACCTCTCACTGCGTGCTCCAGGCTGGGAAGCTTCTACCCCACTTAACGTATCGTGTCGAAAAGCTCGTGCAGACACACCCTTTTCCGGCTTTCCACAGACGGCAAAGGAGTATTATTCAAGAGGGGTTTTTGCACGTGTAGATAGGACTGGAAGGGTTTGGAAAATTGCACTGGTCAAGGGATAGGAACTGTGGCTTGTACGAGTGTCACCTCTCATTGTTTGCATGCACCAGGCTGGGAAGCTTCTACACCACTTAACGTATCGTGTCGAAAAGCTCGTGCTTGGTTTCGGCTCAGTTTGAGATTTTCGTTTGGTTCCGGGTTTCTGTCGTCTGAGCTCTGTTGTATTGTTCGTTGGGTGTCCCAACCTGTTGGTTGTATGTGGCGTACGGGGTTGGACTCGACCAGCAATGGCACTAGCCTGGGATGGTGGTGGGTGGCTTTACCTTGACCCAGCCCTGGTGCCAGATTCCTGTCGGGATCCGCATGTGTCAGCTGGATAAATAAACCGAGGGTCGCTTTGTTTACGGGATTCTTTCTGTGTTAAATGCTCCTTAGATGTGTGTGTGTGGGGGAAGGGGGGAGGATACTTTTCAGATTGCTGATACTCCATCTGTCTCTGTTATACCTCTCAGGATGCCAGTCACAGCTGCTGGCGAAACGTCAGTGTTAAGTCGGCAGCTTTGAATACATCACAGTCAGGTCCTGCGATGCCAAGACCACGGCCACACAGCCCGAGAAATCGACAACAACAAAGGCTGCTGTGTTCCGTAATCTCCGCTTCTGGTTTTCCGCTCACGCGAATGCTCACCGCCTTCATTTTTCTCATTTTTTTCCATTTTCCCGGCAGACCATCCATGAGCTCAGACTTCCAGCATTACAGTTTCAGGATGCCAAATATTGGATTCCAGAACCTGCCTCTCAACATATACATTGTGGTCTTCGGTACGGCAATATTCGTCTTCATCCTCAGTTTGCTCTTCTGCTGCTATCTGATCAGGTAAACGAGCCGCCTCCCTCGCTGATTGGAGCATGCCCAGTCCGTCTTCTTCCCGGCAGGCTGGGTGGACTCACACCACTGTCACCGGTTGCTCGTTTTTTGTCTTAACCTATCTCCCCCCCACCCCATCACTTTGTACTAGACTATCTGGAGGCCTTCTGGTTTCGCGAATCGATTTAACACAGGCTCATATCCAGGTGTCCACGTGCTGCCTGTAAGCTTCCTATGTCCGACCGCTGTTAGAAAGAGTTTGCTGAATTAGAATCATAGAATCATAGAGTTGGAAGGGTCCATGGAGACCATCTAGTCCAACCCCCTGCCCAATGCAGGATCAGTCTAGAGCATCCCTGACAAGTGTTTCTACAACTGCTGCTTGAAGACTGGCAGGGAGGGGGAGCTCACCACCTCCCTAGGAAACGGATTCCATTGCTGAACTATTCTGACTGTATTAAAATATTTCCTAATATCCAGCTGGTATCTTCCTGCCCTTAATTCAAACCCATGATTGCGAGTCCGGTCCTCTGCTGCCACCAGGAACAGCTCCCGGCCCTCCTCTAAATGACAGCCCTTCAAAGACTTCAAGAGAGCAATCAAGTCCCCCCCCCCCTCCACCTCCTCTTCGCCAGACTAAACATTCCCCAGTCCCTCAGCCTTTCCTCGTAGGGCTTGGTCTCATCCTGCAAAGCAGGTCCTTTCAGAGTCCAAAAAGCTTCAAAAATCAAGGGTCCACCTTTGTCACCTTCCCCCTTTTGATCCCCTTTCCTTTTGTTTGGGTCGCCCATTTCCTTTGCTTCAGCATACGTTTGCCAGACTTTGGGCTGGTCTTTAGCAAAATAATGCACAGTGAAGTTACAGACACCAAGGCACCTTCGTATGTGGAAATCCCAGTAACGTATCGCAATCCCACGGTCAGGATGCCTGTTAAACCATTTGCAAGACCTGTGGGTTTTGACCACGAGGATTGTGTAGAGGATCACAATTTGTGTGTGGCTTTAAAAAAAAAAAATGCACAGAATTCCATTATTTTACTGAGACCCAGTTGAGTTAAAGTTAAATATAAATACACATTGATGGAGTCTGAACTGGCAGAGACTGATCAAGAGAGAGATCTTGGAGTTGTAGTAGATAACTCACTGAAAATGTCGAGACAGTGTGTGACTGCAATAAAGAAGGCCAATGCTATGCTGGGGATTACTAGGAAGGGTATTGAAAACAGATCAGCCAATATCATAATGCCCCTGTATAAATCAATGGTACGACCTCATTTGGAATACTGTGTGCAGTTCTGGTCACCACACCTTAAAAAGGATATTATAGCTTTGGAAAAAGTGCAGGAAAGGGCAACTCGAATGATAAAAGGGTTGGAACACTTTCCCTATGAGGAAAGGTTAAAGCGCTTAGGGCTCTTTAGCTTGGAGAAACGACGACTGAGGGGTGACATGATCGAGGTTTATAAGATTATGCATGGGAAAGAGCAGGTAGAGAAAGAGGTACTTTTCTTCCTTTCTCACAATACAAGAACTCGTGGGCACTCGAAACTGCTGAGCGGTTGGGTTAGAACGGATAAAAGGAAGTCCTTCTTCACCCAAAGAGTGATTAACACTTGGAATTCACTGCCACAGGATGTGGTGAAGGCTACAAGCATGGACAGCTTCAAGAGGGAATTAGATAAGCATATGGAGCAGAGGTCCATCAGTGGCTATTAGCCACAAGGTATAGATAGGGACTCTGGGGCAAGTGATTCTTTGTCATCTTGGTGCTTGGGGGGGGGGTCAACAGTGGGAGGGCTTCTAGTGTCCTGGCCCCACTGGTGGACCTCCTGATGGCACTGGTATTTCTGGCCACTGTGTGATACAGAGTGATGGACTGGATGGGCCTTTGGCCTGATCCAACATTGGCATCTCTTATGTTCTTATGAGTTCCACCATTGCACAGCGAAATTTAGTTTTATGATCGGCAAAGATCCTGCATGGCTTGTCAGACTGAGGTGCAATGCAGAATGATACACAATATATCTGGGCGTAGTGGCACTATGCAGCCAGACTACAGGACTACAGTCAGAGGTTCCAGGGTGGGTCTGCTTCCCTTCCTCATCCTCCCTTCTTCCTAAGTGTTTGGTGGAGGAGCGGAAAAAAAGGAGTTCTGTTTCGCGAGCCCCTTTCTTTGTGCTGTTGGACGAGAGCAGAACTGGCAAAGCCTTTAAAGGGGAAGAAACAGTGTTCATTTCTTTTTGCCATTAACGTCCTCTTCTCTGCTATTCCCCCCCCCATCGCTGCTCCAAATCCCACCAGATTTACCAGCAGTGTGGCTGACTTCCTCCTCTAGTTCAAACCCCTTGCCTCTCCTGGTTAGCATTCTGGCTGCTGGTTTCTGTCTTCTTTGACACCTCTGAGAAATGGTTTTCATTTCCCCCTTTTGAAGGGGGAACGATTCATCCCGTCACTCCTTGATGGCGCTCTCTTGACATCTCGCAGCGATCGTTCTTTGCAGGTGCAGGAAATCCTTTGCTTTGAGGTACCGGGTGGATTTCAGAATGCGGTGTTTGGAAAAGTAATGATATTGCACTTGGTGGGGGCCAATGCTCCCTCTAAGCTGTGGAGGCTGGTGAGCAAAAATTCTACTTTGTGAGCTACTGGCATAAAACCTTGTGAGCAAAAATTCTACTTTGTGAGCTACTGGCATAAAAGCTGTGAGCGAGTGATTTGGCGACTGCATGAATCAGTTTGCTCTGGAGCCCTCCCTTCCTGAGCGGAGACAAAAAATGTGTGAGCCGGAGGCTGAAAAACGGTGAGCTAGCTCACACTAACTCAGCTTAGAGGGAACACTGGTGGGGTCCCCCACGGGGCCCCACCCGCCCTCAATAGCTTGGAAGGGTTGGTTTGTTTTATTTTCTCAAATGTACGTAGGGGGGAATTGTCTTCTTTCTGTTCATTTTCAGTTCGTTTCATACTCCACTTCGTTATATATAGATTTTATTGTTTGATTGATTGATTTTTGTCATCGCTCACCTGAAGGGTCTCACGGTGACTTATGACATGGGGAAGGGGGGCCGAGGCTGGCAAATGGTTTACAGCGTAGAACGCTCTGGTCTATCTGTTTCTCTCTGTCTCTTTCCGGTGAATAACTTGTATCCCTTTGCCCTTCAGAAATGGACAATATCTGCCCCATCCAGTTTGTTGTTCCTACAGGTCCTGCTCTTTCAGCTGCCCCGTTTAGGGGGCAGCCCAAACCGGCTCGATTGGTTAATTGGGAACAAATCCGTGAAATGGCAGCGGTCACTTTCCAAAAAACGTTTGCTGCACGACAGCCAGCGTGGTGTGGTGGTTATGTGCGCTGACTCTAATTTGGGAGAACTGGGTTTGATTCCCTACTCCCCCACATGCAGCTGCTGGTGTGACCTTGGGTCGGTCATAAGTTCTTTCAGAGCAGTTTCTGTCAAGAGCTCTCTCATCCCCACCTGTCTCACAAGGTGTCTGTTGTGGGGAGGGGAAGGAAAAGGAGATTGTAAGCTGCTCTGAGACTCCTTCAAGTAGTGAAGGGCAGGGTAGAAATCCAATCTCCTCCTCCTCCTCCTCCTCCTCCTCCTCCTTCTTCTTCTTCTTCTTCTTCTTCTTCTTCTTCTTCTTCTTCTTCTTCTTCTTTGGCAGAGGTCTTTCCCATCACCTACTGGCTGGCTCTTAACTGGAGTGGCCGGAGATTGAACCTGGGGCCTTCGGCACGCCACAGCAGATGCTCTACCACTGAGCCACGGCCCCTCTCTGTTGGGTTATTCCTTTTAATTTTAAAGTAAATCAGCAGAGTAATCAGCAGTCAGCAGAGTATTAAAGAGTCAGAGTCCATGGTGTGTTTAAATATAAAAGTTTACTACAACCTAGCATGGGGAAAAGGTATGCGGGATGTAAAATAACAAAGAGCTATATTCCTACATCCTTACAGCTAGACAGAACATGGCAGAAGAGTAATGGAGACTAACTTCTTCTTGCTCAGGACAAAGAGCCATAAAATGCTAATACTTGGCACTCTAGTTTCCAATCAGAACAACAAACTAGATCTGAAGTTAGCGGGCTTTCTAGCTCTCTAAACTTATTGGTTTCAAACAAACATGTGATTTAGTAAACAGTATTAACCCAGTAAATACTGAACAGTGTTCTAACTTGTAACACCCAACCCTCTCATTATGGTTTTTTTCTGCTCCGAGACATCTTTCCCGGGGAGTAAAATGGGAATGCAGCTCGTTCCTGACTCACGAGCGACATGTTCCAAAGTTTTGATGTCTGCGGCATATTGGGTCCCCCACCCCTTTGGACTGGTAATTGGAGGCTCGCTAATAATTGCATTCCTCGGCTGCAGATAAAAATTGCAGTAAAGTAATACGTGAGCTAATTGTTCGGGAACCCCAGCCCTTCAAGGGGTTGCTTCTAGGATCTCAGCCTCCTTTTGGTCTCGTGCCTTCTAGAACAGCGGCAATGCTTCTTGGCTTCCCCTACGCGCCTCGGCTATAAATAGGGTGCTTGGGGGGACTCGGGAACATCCTGATACAAACGCGGATTCTCTCTCTCTCTCTCTCTCTCTCTCTCTCTCTCTCTCTCTTTCTCTCTCTCTCTCTCTCTCTCTCTCTTCCCCCACCTGTGGAGTGTAATTTAATAGGGAGATGCTATCCTTGGCCATAGACTGGCCAAAGTGTGTGTGGAGGGAGATTAATGATGTACCAGGCCTCTTCACTCCGAGGGGCACAGTGCACTGGATTCACCCCTGATAGCAACTTAGTGTTAAAAGCCACGCCTCCTAGCCCCGGGTTCAGGAGTCCTCACTGTGAAGCAAAATTACTTATTATGCAGGTATTTTTTTTCCAGTCCTCTCCGAGGCATGTTTTTGCAGAAGGGAAAGGGGCACTGAGTTCAACGGATCTTCCTTGGTGCAAAGCTTGTTTAGAATTGCAGCTATTAAAGGAATCGCTGGCATAGCTCCCAGAGAAGGGGGGGGCGTGGCTGGAATGCTTG